ATAAGCCTTATTGACAAAGAGTTGTTAAGGGTCTACTAGGGTGCAAAACAATCACGATTGTTTTGGAAAGGGAACAAAGCAATATCGTTGTTTCTTCACTACCGAAACAAAACTCCAAAATTCTGTTACCTATTAGTTTGAGTCTGTGTGGACGAACTAGAGGCCTGACGTGTGGAAGGCTTATTGCTGGAATTCAAACATCTACATCAGGCATCGCATATTCGTCTGAACAAGTAAGTACTTATTTGTTTTGAAAGGCCTGAATCAAATTGCAACTTCAAGCAAGAAGAACAAAACAAAACTGTTTGCTCATTCCGCTGTGCAAATAATTTTTCTTTCAGCTTTCATAGTCAAAAGTCAGAAGTACAAATATGCTTTACTACTGCTATATTTCAAAATAGGCTTCTAACCAGTCAAGGGTATTTTGATCATAACCTAGTCTTTAGATCTTTAAATGATATGACTTTTAATCCATTGGAAAGGTAACTCAATTTGCTACAACTTTCCATGAAAAGATGAAGGAATGTTTTTGAGACTCTAGAAAACTCTTTTGAACTTTCTTCCATCAATTTTAACATAAGAAACAAGCAAGTAGCAGGATTCTTGAAGCAAGTTGTACAAGTTGCCTAAGCTTTCTTCACTCTGTAAATAGAATCTTCAGAGACTTAATTTATAACTTTAGAGGCTACAAAACACTACTAAAAATGTAGTTTTTCACTAGAGCTCCTAGTTCATTAGATTAGAGTAGGTTTGTGTAGTTTATCCAACTTGTGTATAACTAAATATAGAAGTAGATTTGACAAATATATATATATATATATAAGTAGATTGAGGATGAAGATGGAGAGTTTTGGAACTCATATGACAAGAGTGATTCCTCTCTTATCACTTTTTTTCTTGTGTTGAATCTTATGTTTAGATATAATACAAACATAATTATTGTTTTTATTTTCTTTGTATTTTGCTAGTTTTTGTACCTAAGGAAGGGATGACTAACTATAATTATATGTGATATTTTCTTGGTTATTTGATGTCTATATCTTGTGCAAGTTATTTCATAGTTTTACTATTACAATCATGATTAATTGGCCATTAATTATGACCATTTAAAGGTGTTGTATCTTCAATGAAATTTGGGATTCAATACAAGTTCATAGGAGTATTAGATCTAAGTTGTTCACTCACTAGTGCAGGGTGGCATCTTTGTGATTTTAACCAAGTAATTTCATAGAATTTAATGAGTTTATAACTAGTTTCATCAGCACTAATATAGGTGAGGAGTATTTATAAGTATGGTGGATATACCGGCGAAAACAAATATCATGTACAATAGGAAATTAAGCTATAACTTTGCCAACGTGATCAATTTCATTTAACCAATAATTTCACTTGCAAGAGTAGTTAGAAATTCCATAACCCTAGGAATCTCTTTACTATTATATGTTTATAGTGTAGAGTTACTTGCCTTAATTTTGGTAGTCTACATGATATGAAGTTTGAATAATACCAATAATTGATCATCTTCCCTATAAGATCGACATTGAATATTCCCTATACTCGTGTACAAACTGTGCACTTGCTGTAGTGGAAGTTTAAGCATAAAGTAAAACTTCACAACCAATCTCCACACTCATATAGGAGAGTCTATTAATGATGATCCGATGGCTAAGACATCCCACCCATAAAGGGCTATAGAACTCAGTCAGAGATTAAGATTAAATCTTAACGTTTGCCTTTTCGTAGAACCACGTACATGCTTTGCACCATAGGGAAGGGTATGATGATTTAAGCACCATATTCATGCTTTTCACTCATACCATTCTATGATTCATTTGTTCCTAACCTAGTTCTTGGGTCTCTAATCCCTATGTAGTCATGTCCTCATAGATGGTTTCAATTTACAGTTTATAGACTTAAATTCTATGCCCCTTGATGTTTGGTAACTTTGTTCTCTAGTTTGAATTTTACTTGAACAAGATTCTCTCTTGATTTTACGATAATACAGTCATAATGTGTTAATATTTTGTGAGAATATCTCTTATATCATTGCAATGATTTATAACCACATTCATTTAAGTCACCTAAATATGCTCACATCAAGTAAAGCCACTTTTTTCAATTTTTTTCTTCCATTAGTAGCCAGTGGCCTCACTATTAGGAATCATCAATGTTAATGACCAATAGTCTACTACTAGAAACTAATTTAATTTTTCTAAGATTTCCATTCCTGTCAATGGCTGGTAGTCTAGTAAACTACAAGGAGCCATTTTCATGGGCTATTGCCTTTGAAAAGTAATACCACCAAAACATTTCAAGTCCATTCACCTTATGTCATATGTTAGTAAGTGTTAGTTTGCACACTCAAAACAAAGATTAAGAAAATCCAAAATATAATGCTCAATGTAATGCTTCAAAGGCTAGTAGTCACAACAAAACAAATGCGTATAGCATTTTAATGTTTTAATTTAAAACATTATCATACTCTTATAGCATGACATGCGGTTTCTTCATTTACAATCACTACCCAGGAATGGCTCGAGTAGTCGAGAGTTTAGTGCCATTTTCAACACCATAAATTTAAAACCACTCTATTGGCTAATCTATTACCAATAATTAAGTATCATGTTAAAGAATGAATATAATGTTTACTCATAGGACACGTATTAGCCAAAGTCGCTGGAGGATTCTTTGCATATATATTGCTAAGTAATCAAGCAATTTAATAGATACAGAACTTTCATATACTTCAAGTCAAGTTATGGATAATAATGGGGTAAAATCGGTTTCAATTAAAGTCGATGCAACTTTTCCCAACATACTGTAAAAAATGATCACAACTCCTCCCCCCCCCCCCTCGCCTAATTATTCACAATCCTGTGTAATAGAAAAAGTAATTAAATTTCGAGGAATGACATCATGTACAGTAGATGAAAAAAGAAACTTCATATCCCTATGAACTTGCTTTTTAACAACTTGTAAGTTCATTTCCATTCTAAATTAGGAATTACAAAATTAGATATGGCTAATATATTTTTCACATAAATCTTTCCCAAAAATGTAATCACATATATGTCAATGTCAATTTTTTTACACTAATTGGTATTACCTATTAGTATAATGTGAAAATTTATGTATAGGCATTGAAAGTTTAGTACTTAACGTGACATGGCTAATATAAAGAAAATTTGGCCTGGATGTGTATATAAATGTGTGTGTCTGTGTATACATATATGTATATATATGTATGTATATATGATTTTAAATATACTCCCAATCAGCAGATTTATTGACTTTGAGAATTTCAGCGCATGAATAGGTAATGTATTCTCTTCGTTCTTCCTCATAAAGGGTCTAAAGGGGACGGATTGGGAGTCCGTCAACACTTGTTTGTAATATTCTTGCTTTTCGGCCAAGGATATAGGAATAGAATTGCAGTTCGAAGGTAGTAACGTTGGCTAATGAATAGGGATCGTTATTGCCAAAAATCGAGTTTAGTTTGTGTAACTGTTATATAAGCAAAAGTTTTGATATAGTTGTTAGGAAGGGGTTTAGACGAGAAAGATGTTGGTGCAATAGCTGCTTTTGTAGATGGTTGGGTTACAACAATTTTCTGTTTCAATGTTTGGGTAGTAGCTACCTTGATAGGGACCAGTGTTCCCACATTGGATTACCTACTGTTTCAGCCCATTGTTTCATATGATCATAGGGATGGGCTTCAAGACAATCTAATGATTGTTTGCTAAGCAAATTATTCACTCCAAAGATGAATTGAAAAGATTAGAGATATCTTGTGTAAATTAAAGGATTAATCTTTCTCACACCGATAGTGTATACACTGTTAGTATAAGAAAATAATGAAAAAAAGGATAAAAGAAAGAAATTAATATAAAAAAAAAAAAGAAAAAATCGAATGAATGATAACTATGCAAAATTTGAATTTGAAATTCAATTTTTGTACACATGTAATGAATCCAACGATAATAGTATATACATTGTCAGTGTAAATAAGATTTACTCTAAATTAAATATAAATTTTTGGTCCCATAATTTCTGAAAAATTTTGGTGCTATTTTAGCAAATTCTAGAATAGTTAATTTTGATCATCCAAACAAGGTTCAAAGTTTTGCTAGCATTTTCATATTTGTTTTCCACGGCCAAAACGTTGTAGTTTTGCTGGTGGCATCATAAGAACCATCTACTGAATCTTTTTAAACCTAGTCGTGAACTGACTGGAAATGAAACTTGCGAGGCCCATCCCGACTTGGAGTATGTAATATTGTTTTGAAATTGGAAACTTCACCCTTGAATTGCTATTCTTTCCTCTAGTGTACAAACAAGAACATTTTTGGTGATTTCTAACTTTCCTACCTAATAAATTAGTGCGTTTTGAGGCATGAAAAGCCAATTTATGGCTTGAAAAACTAAATTTGTTAGTGTATAGAAATTACCCATTGGTAACTACTTAAAAAAAAAAAAGAAACCTTTGGGTAAAAAAAGAGAATAAAAGAAGGGGGAAAAGGGGAAAGGATACTCTATTATAATAATAAAATTATTATAAAAAAGCAACAACCTTGTAAAAAAAGAAAATACTGTAGTTAAAAAAAAAAAAGAAATCGGCAAGTGTTTTTCTTTCCCTAGAAATACTTAATTTCTACAGGGTCATTTTCATTAATTAGCTACTAATAAAGAAAAAGGGAAGAAACATCGTAACAACACAATTTTATATTCTACTATAATAATACTATTATTATTGTTGAAAAAAAACGGCAACTTTGGGAAAAATAGTACTGTAAGTGATAAAAAAAAAGAAAAATTTGCCATCGGATTCAAATTCAAGTTACCTAATTTATGTGACTTCACCAGTAAGTACTAAATAAAATAATAATCACTTTAAAAAAAGAAGAAAGAAACAACCGGATGGAAAAGAAACCAAATATATGATTCATGTCTAGGCATCTCAAAAAACTTATGGAATTTCAAAAAAAGATTCAACGGTCAAAAGAGTAAGAAGCATCCATTAATCAACCTAAAAGGTACAATAATACAATCCCATAATTCACTGCAAAAATAAATGTTAGAGCTCTCTTGGAGCACCTGAGAGTGACAAATATCAGCAAAAAGCAATATTATGTTATCTTCTGAAAATTCCATTAATCAACCTAAAAGGTACAATAATACAATCCCATAATTTACTGCAAAAATAAATGTTAGAGCTCTCTTGGAGCACCTGAGAGTGACAAATATCAGCAAAAAGCTGTTGTATTATGTTATCTTCAGAAAATGACATCAAAAGTAATCTCCAAGTATCATAAATGTTCCCCAGCATAGAAGTAGACTATTCTTGGATGAGTTATACTATAATATACATGTAAGACACAAGATGCAAGTATCTTAGGGAAGGAATTCCATTGACTTCTCTAGCATGATACTCTTACTTATAGCAATCTGGTAATGCAAATATAGCTATTTTATTAGTTCCTTTTTTCTATACGGTTAGACAGAATCAATAATTAGAGACTCATGGCACTTAAAAACAGGAGTTGCAAACATATTTTTTTAAGCTTGCATAGATTTTGCTTAATCAATCGCAAATTGCCAATGGCTTAAATGGATGTTCAAACATCTAGGCATTAACGCAAGGCAAATATTAAAACACTAAATAAGTAGATCATTTACCATGAATTAATTCCCGTTACCTGCCTAAAACAACTCTTACAATTTTAGTCCATCCATTGCCAAATATCTTCCACGCCTGCATACGATTTCTAAATTTTAGATTATCCCATCCAATAAGAAAAGATTTGACCATCCAAATTGAAACAATCAGATCAGTAAAATTATGCTAGATCTTGTAATTTAGCGAAAATTGACATAGGGTTGAAAGCAATTGGTTAGCTTGTACAGTTCAGATTCATGGAATATATAACTAAGAAGTTTTACCAAGAGATTTATTGCATTTTGTACTACTAAACTGTACCAAGAAAGAAGGGAAGAAAAGCCATTTTGGTGGAGCACTAATTCTACTATAATTTATATTATATCCTCAAAATGTCATCCTATCAGATACATAAGCCAATCCCCTCAGAACAAAATTAGCAAAATTTTAATGAAAAACTCGTACTCTATCAAAAGAAAAATGAAAGGCAAGATTTATGCAAAGACACGAGGAAAAGGCACTTAAAAACAATAATCTAAAATAATGGAAATCCTTGATGACTTACAATGCTTTTGGTCATTTGTGGCCGAAAACCCAACAACTAAGTACACACAGAACTATCAAAAACAGATCCAACATCTAATGGCATAGAGATGCAAAGCAAATAAAGAAATCAAGCATTCTCCTTAATGAATGGAAAAGGAAGCTCGTGAAAGAGCATCCAAGTAATGAATAACCTGAAAATCACAATCAAAACTTGATTAAAAAATATAAAAAAAATCACAGTGCATTAAAGTAAACTTTTTATTAGTGAATGAAATAAAATATACCATATCTTAGAGTATTGCAGCAATGTTGAAGAGGAAAAAGCCCAACTTTCTCCACCTGCAATCACAAAAAAAGTAAATTTTAGATTAGTAAAAGGGGAAGAAAACAATGAAGAGAAAATCAAATGTATATAAAAAAAGTTCACAATGCATAAGCAGCGACTTTCGAACTATCGATAGATGATAACGATCATGATATCTGCAAAACACGAAACAGAAACTATTAGACACCCAATTTCCAAAAATTGAAAGTATCTAGGTTCTTAACCTTCCCCATTGGAGAAATTTATCAAATAACACAATCATCCACAATGTTAAAGCAGTTAGGTAGATAAAACATTGAGAAATTTATCCGAATAATAAAAAATAATTGCACAGCATAAACATAGTTAGGCAAACAAAAGATTGAGCAGACTACACCAATTACTCCAACACCGCAACTTATTAGATTCAGTTCCACCGCTGGCTTAACATAAACTTTCACGTTATCAACTAAATTTCAGAAACATCCAATTGAACTTGCTCCAATCAATAAAGTGAAAATTCATGCTTTTAAAATTTCAATTGTCCTGTTTCCCGTAACTACTACATCCAACCATCCAACCCAAGCAAAAATTTTCAGCTTTCAACACCCAATTTGATGACATCAACAATTTGTAATAAAGGAAACGTCTCTTTATAATTATTGTAGAAACAGCTATGGAATTTGATTAAAATTTAAATCATAAAGAGGGGAAATGGGATAAGTAGGAGGCATAGTAGTAAAAGTAAAGATTAAAAAACTCCAAGTTTTGGAGTCTCAAAAAAAAAATAAAGGGACAAATCAAGGGCAAAAAATAGCACTGATATAAAAGACAAAGTATTACCTCTTCATGTGCTAATTTCACTGTCAAAGTTTATGAGCAGGAAGGCCAAAACACCCAAATGGATTTTGTGGTTCACTGGCATACCATTAATATAACACATCATCAAAAATGAAAGATAAAGTAATAACAAGGATTTCTTTTTACTTCTAGCCAAAACAAACGGAAAACATTGGGCGCAAAAAAAAAAAGAAACAAAATATGGGTTTTCTAACAAAAAAAAAAGAGTTGTTCAATAATAATAAAACGGAACAAAATAAGAAAATTTGAACAAAAACAACCATATAACAGTCAGAAACTTGTGAATGGGAAACAGGAGATGAATCTGAGGAAGAAGAGTACAATGGGGAATAGAGGTCTTCTAGAAGTGCAAAAAAATAAAAAAAAAATTTAACACAAATTTGCCGAGAAAAAAAGATTACCTTGTTAGTCTTGCTGCCTAAGGAAGAGAAAGATGGCAAAGAAAAGGAACAGGAGAGAGAATGATGAAAAAGAGGAAGAAATGAAAAGAGAACCAGAAGAGACCGAGAGGGAAGAGAGAGATAAAAGCACATGGTTTCTAGCACACGTTTTTTGGCACAGGGTTTCAGGTGGTTTGGAAAATAGAAGGGAGCAAAACCGGTAGAAGAAATCTAGGACCAAAAAGTCAACAACCACGGTGCACGTGATTTCCACATGAAGAAGGACGAAAGACCAACAACAAATTTCACCACCCATTCCCACTTTATATATAAGTTCTTTATAGTACAATACTACAAAGTTAAAAAACAAGTAACACATTTAATATGAAAGGATATGGTACTGATACGGACCTAGAGGTGGCTCCTGTCCATTTTCAGCTGTAGCACTTAGCCCTGTTCAACTATTCAATGTCAACAATCAATATTAAAGGATACGGTACTGATACGGACTCTAAAGGTGGCTCCCGTCCATTTCCAGACGTAGCACTTAGCTCTGTTCAATAATACAGTGCCATTTCCCCAGTTAAACAGTAACAAGCATACTCCTTTCTTGCAGTGTTCAATGATCATCACCTCAGTGGATCATACTCGAGTATACCAATAAAGGGTACCAAAGGACTATCAACCTACTCGACCGAGCCCGTTGCTAACTCGAATAGGCCGACCATCGTTGGGGTTTGGGCCCAAAACCGTCATGCACAGTTAACAATAGCAATTAAACAATTGATGGTTCCAAAAGTAAGTAAGACGAGTGCGACAAAGTACACACTCGCCTTTTATCAGTGAATAATAATAGCAAATTAAGTTGAAAACTCAAACAATTACACTTAGCAATCAATTAGGTCACCAAGCAACAAGCCACAACCATACTTTAACATTTAATCATGAATACATATAAGGAACACTCATCGTAAGAGAACATTTTACATCTCGGCTTTGGGGTTCCCTTCTTGCAGCCTATTGTCTCCTGAGACAATTTATAATTACCGTAATTATTTAACTATTCACTTGGTAAAATTCTTAAGAAAAGATCTACATACATGCTGTTTCCTAGCCTCTAATCACAATTACAACAGGATTTTAAGCTATAGCCACATTTAGGTAAGGCAACCAGCTCACCTTTTTCCCAAATTCTCACACAACAATTCCACTTTTAATTTTCAAGGGGTTCAATCATGCAACCAACATACATCTAGTAAAACAGGTGGGAAACAACAACTCATCAAAACCCTTAAAATTTCACAGCTACTAGCTGCACAAATAACCAGCTCAAGTTCGGCCAAACTTATGAAATAAAACTTGAGAAATTCATTCCTCATTTTCTTGCAAACTCACCCAAATTCCTTGCCTAATCAAGTAAATTACCACATGCATGCCAAGTATTAGATTTTACGATGTATATGAAGCAAAAATATACTTACTAATAACTAAAGTTATGGAGTTAAAGCTGGTCAATTTCAGCTCTTCCCCTCTCGGCTCTCATCAAAATTTCCAGCAATTTCCTTAAGTTTTTCTCTTCAAACAACCAACTTGTTGAATTCAAAGCCAAGCCTCAATTGATGACTTTTTCAAGCCAAAATTGAGGACTTTGAATTCTTTGGCCTAAGTTTCTAAATCCCACATCGGTTAAGTTTAACATTTGAGAGGTTGTTTGAGAACTATAAATAGCTCTCAAACAAACCAATTCAAGTACACCAAGCAAGAGCCAATAACTTGCTTTCTTCTCTCTCTTTGTAATATTTCTTCTAGTGAAATATTAAATTGTCGGTAGTGTCCGAGGACGTAGGCAAATTAGCCGAACCTCGTTAAATTCTGGTGTTCTATTTTATTGTCTATTTAGTAGCTATATTTGTAGGTATATTTGTAGTGAGTTATTGTGCAATTAAGTGCATATATAGGTGATTCTGTCTAGGAAATTGGTACTTAAGCAGGCCAGTGTGCCTCACCAAATATTTCCTGGGAATTACCATTTTGCAATTTTAGGTACAATAATTTACTCGTTATACCTTAACTTTGGTAGGGCTTCCGCAACAATTGGTATCAGAGCTCGAGGTTTCTTAGTATGCTCTGTGGTTGCAGCATGGTCTGATCTTCCACATCAGAAAAGATTTCTTGGGCTATTGTTACTCTACATTTAGGAGCTACTAAATATAATTTGTAGAGATGGCCGAAAGTAGATCTTCATCTACAATGCAAGCATCAACAAGCTCGTCATTATCTATTATGGCGAGAAATGTTATGACGAATACAAAATTAAATGTGGAGACATTTGATGGTACCGGTCATTTCGGCATGTGGCAAAGTGAGATTCTAGACGCGCTCTTTAATCAAGGTCTAGACATTGCCATCGAAAAAGAGAAACCAGAAGAGATTGAAGAGAAGGAATGGAGGACGCTAAATCGTTTAGCGTGTGGTACAATTCGATCGTGTCTTTCAAGGGAACAAAAATATGTGTTCTCAAAAGAAACCTCTGCAAATAAATTATGGACTGGATTGGAGGAGAAGTTCTTGAAGAAAAATTGTCAGAACAGGCTCAACATGAAGAAGCGTTTATTTCGCTTCACTTATGTTCCTGGCACAACTCTAAGTGATCACATCACTAATTTCAATTAGTTAATCACTGATCTGATGAATTTAGATGTGACATTTGAAGACGAAGATTTGGCTCTCATGTTGTTGGGATCTCTTCCTGAGGAGTTTGAGCATCTTGAAACAACTCTACTCCATGGGAAAGCTGAGGTGTCCCTCAGTGAAGTTAGCTCTGCCCTGTACAGCTATGAGCTCAGAAGAAAAGACAAGCAAAATAGCAGAGATGGAGCAGCAGAAGCTCTGGTAACTAGAGGACGCTCACAAAACCAGAGAAAGGGGACGAGAAGAAGATCCAAGTCAAGAGCCAAACTAAGTAAAGATGAGTGTGCCTTTTGCAGAGAGAAAGGGCACTGGAAGAAGGACTGTCCAAAACTGAAGGGTAGACCTGACAAAGAAAAAACTGTTGCGGATTCAAATGTATCTGAGTGCATTGATCAAAACTCAGATTTTTCATTAGCTGTCATGCCTACTGGTCATTCTAGTACATGGCTATTGGACTCAGGTTGTAGCCATCATATGACGTCCAATAGAGAATGGTTCTTTGATTTCAAGGAAAAAGAAGGTGGAGTCGTCTACACGGCAGATGAGACCACATTAGCAACAAATGGGGTTGGTTCAATTCGGCTGAGGAATCAGGATGGATCAATTAAGATTCTAACTGATGTCCGATATGTGCCAGAATTGAAAAAGAACCTCATTTCTGTAGGAGTACTAGAATCAATGGGCTACAAGGTGTCGGCATATAATGGAGTGATGAAAATCATTTCAGGTGCATTGGTGCTGGTGAAAGGAATCTGGAAAAATAATAACTTGTATTACTATCAAGGTAATGCAGTTGTTGGAGTAGCGGCCGTGGCTTCCAGTGATGATCGAGAATTGAAAGTAACCAGATTATGGCATATGCGCTTAGGGCATGCCGGAGAAAAATCTTTGAATCTTCTGATGAATCAAGGACTATTAAAAGGAGCCAGTGTTTGCAAGTTAGATTTTTGCGAGCATTGTGTCAAAGGAAAGCAGACAAGGGTAAAATTTGGCACTGCAATTCACGATACCAAGGGTATTTTGGATTATGTGCACTCTGATGTGTGGGGACCTTCCAAAACAACTTCTTTGGGAGGCAAGAATTATTTTGTTACCTTTGTCGATGACTTCTCTCGAAGAGTATGGGTGTATACTATGAAGGCGAAAAGTGAAGTATTGGGAATTTTCATCAAGTGGAAAAAGATGGTGGAAACTCAAACAGAAAGAAAGATCAAACGCCTTCGAACAGACAACGGAGGTGAATACACTAGTGATCCGTTCATGGAGGTCTGTGAAAATGAAGGCATTGTTCGGCACTTCACAGTCAGAGATACACCACAGCAAAACGGGGTGGCAGAGCGTATGAACCGGACATTGGTGGAGAAAGTTCGGTGTATGTTGTCCAATGCTGAGTTGGGCAGACAATTTTGGGCTGAGGCTTTAGCATATGCAAATCACCTCGTTAATCGCTTACCATCAACTGCTATTGGCGGCAAAACGCCATTAGAGAAATGGTCGGGAAAACCTGCTACAGATTATGATTCCTTACATGTGTTTGGTTCTACTGCATATTATCATGTTAAAGAATCAAAGTTGGATCCAAGGGCGAAGAAGGCGCTCTTTATGGGGATCACAACAGGCATTAAAGGTTATCGCCTTTGGTGTCCCGAAACGAAAAAGATAGTTTTCAGCAGGGATGTCACCTTTGATGAATCTACCATGTTAACAAAGGTAGATGTACAGCAGAATGATAGTACTCCCCAACAGGTGGAGAGCACTCCTAAGCAGATGGAGTTTGAAAGAAGCATTATCAGACCAGCAGTGGATATCGGAGTAGATGAAAGGACTCCTATGGTAGAAGAAGAATCAACTGAAGAAAATGTTCCAGTTGAAGAACTTTCACAGCAACATGAATCAATTGCAACCAGTAGGCCAAAGAGGACAATCAGAAAACCTGCTCGTTTTGCTGATATAGTGGCCTATGCATCCCCAACCATAAATGTTGATATTCCTGCCACTTTCAATGAAGCAGCTCAAAGTTCGGATAAAGAAAAGTGGAGGATTGCAATGGATGAAGAAGTACATTCCCTTCATAAGAATCAAACATGGAGGCTAACCAGTCTTCCAAAGGGAAAGAAGGCAATCGGATGCAAGTGGGTATATGCAAAGAAGGAAGGATTTCCTGACAAGTCTGGTGTTCGCTACAAAGCAAGATTGGTGGCTAAAGGCTACGCTCAGAAGGAGGGAATTGATTACAACGAAGTGTTTTCTCCAGTCGTGAAACATTCCTCCATCAGAATTTTATTGGCTTTGGTAGCACAATTGGATCTGGAACTTGTCCAATTAGATGTAAAAACTGCGTTTTTACATGGTGACTTGGAAGAGGAAATCTACATGACTCAGCCAGAAGGATTCAA